AGGGTGTTTTATTCAATGCCTAAAAGGCACCTCCTTTCAGATACCTGTTTTAGAAATGTTTGCTGCTAATGGCCATAGCAAGTCTGGGTGTTACAGTGAAACGATTACAGGAAAAATCCTGCCTTGTTTCTAACAGAGTAACTCCAGAGCACATGGAGATTCTTCACATTCTTAATGCTTTTACCATATGAAAAATAATGTGTACTGTGCAATTGATTCCAGTATTTCATTGTTTTTTTCATCATCTCCTATCTTGGAACCTCCCTCTCCCTCTTAACAACATACTTTCCTAGATTTCATGGCAAAGGACAAGATCAGCTCTGTGTTGCCATAATATCTTTTGAAGCAGAAAATTGTTTCCAGATTATCTAATGTGGGATGAAAAAAACCATCGTATTTATAGATTGGTAAAACAGATAGACTTCCAGTTGAGTTTAGTTCCAGGAAGATTTTATGATGATTATCTGGGAAAAAAAAATGTTTTCATTATTAAGTGTCAAAAATGTTGCATTAAAGTTTGTTTGAGTATATTTATCCCTGGGTTTTAGTACTTGTTTTTATTCCAAAGGTTACTGTATCCCACACCAATTTCTTATTTTAAAACTTGTAATAGTGGAAATTCCATAACGTATTCCTTGGTTTRAAATGAATTAAGTCTGATTCACTAGTCTTCTCATCACCCTTCAAAATWCCTTTCAACATGAAGACAGAAAAGTAAGATGCATGCACTGCATTAAATCGCAGTAAGAACATGTCTGCTGGCTGGGGACTGAGCACTCTCTTCTTCCCCTGCTTGTGTCGGTTAGCATCTCAGTACTTGTTTTGCTTCCCTGTTCTCTCGACCTCTGGGTGTCTCTGAGTCTCTCCTGACTATGGGATCTGGGTGCTATCCCAGGAAACCTCATTCATTCCCTGAATGTGAATGAAATCATGATCCTGGGTGATCCATCTGGCTGCAAGCAGGGCTGGTCACTTGCTTTGTGTCATGTCAGCTTGCTTTTGGCTGCTGTTGGTACCTACATTGAGTTTATTTGTCTCTGACTGATGGATGCTGTCACTTTGGTCACCAAACAGCAGCTGCAGCTGGGGTGGCTGGAGTTTGGCTGCTCCCATGTGCACAGGGTGGGTGATGAGTGGGCCCTGCAGCACGCTGAGTCTGTGTCTGAGGTTGTCTGTCACATTTTCTCTCATCAGTCAGTGCTGCCGGTCTTAACCACTTGCTTTTTGAGAAGTTTGGTTCCCAGACATCTTCCAAAACCACAGGCTGCTGCTAGAATTTCCTTCTGTGTGTCTCCCCAGACACTTGACTGCTGTAATAGTGGGATATCTTTTCAGAAGGTCCCATGCTGGTGTCTGTCTGTGTTGTGGTGTGTCACTGACATCCTGGTGCGTTTAAGTAGGGACCTCTGTGAGCAAAAGGTTTGGAGGAAGTCCCCTGGTACCTGACTAATATATGCATTTATGCAAACAGATAAACACACAAATATGAGCCTTCATATCCAAAAAAGACTCAYTGTTCTTGTTTAGTGACCTTTGGTTCCTGTGGAAAACTTTGGATATACTTATTGTAGTTCTTCATTTCTTTTCTTCTGCTTTTTTGGGAATTTCTCGGGATATGTGCATGAAAGAAAATCWGTTTTATTAAAATGTTGCTGTACAGTCTTTGTTTGGTGTCCTGTGCCTCTCTGTCATATTTCTGTCCTTTTCAAAGCAGACAGTTGTGATGTCAGGTGCAAAGGATTTGGACTGGAAGGTAGTCAGCTTGGGCAGATTAAATGTTTCCCAGACAAAAATCCTGGGTTTGGGRGAAGTAAAAATAGTAACAAGTGGAAGCGTAAAATCTTTGATCCTGAAACCTTAAGTACAGGCAAAATGATTGGCCCAGTGTAGGCAAAAGAGGAAATGCATGTAATGCTGAAAAATATTTTTTCGCWAGTTCCAAGAGGCATTAACAAATTGATTTAGGCGCCTGTCTTGTGAGATCATTAGAAGTTTATTATTTGATTGTTTGTTTTGTTCTTTTTAACTAAGCAGATTTTTTTTTTAATTGTGTGTTACCATGCAAAAGCTGTCCAAAGCAAGATGTGATAAGCTGCTGCAACAAGGTGTATCCAAGAGCCTTTGCACCAACTCTGTAGTGTCTTTCCAATCCTGTGGTAATCGTTCACCTAGAAAAACAAGTCTGAAAGCAAATATATCTGGCTTTAACAAACGGTTCTCTTGTCTTACAGAGAGAGGATACAAGCCATGGAGAAACAGATTGCCAGTTTAACTGGTCTTGTTCAGTCTGCGCTTTTTAAAGGGCCAAATACAAGTAATAGCAAAGATGCTTCTAGGTAAAAACAGAATTCATCTGTAATGATTTTAATAATCAATCAGCAAAAATATACTTGAATGTAATAGTAAAAAAATCCTGATTGCTCAATCATTTTTAAATTGCTTTATCATCTCCATGAGAATGCTAGGCAGAGAGGAAGAATATGSCAAATGATAGATGGAGATTAACTGCATTACTCTTTGTGATAAAAAGAATTATTGTAGCTGCATCTCTGTGCTTTCTACTGCATATAYTCCATTCCTTGCTTAACTTGTACTAAAAGGTGATATAAAGAAAACCAAACTGACAAATTACCGGTGATTTAAATTAAAAGTATATATATTAGACATGCCTATTTAATTAGTTGAATGTAAACTTCAGTACAGTTTTAATAGTTTGTAAACTAAAATTACTTTTTTTTTTATTACTAGTGAGAAGATGATGTTGAAAATKGTGTCCAGCAAGGGACTCAGCGTTGACACTGCAGGTAAGATAATTCACTTTTAATTTACAACTTATTCAGATATATGAATAGCTCTAACATTACAAACACCCCAGCTTAAGGAAATGTCAAATTTATTCAAATTTCCAAAGCTGTACTGTCAGAACTGAAGTTCAGCTGCAAGATATGGGTGTCGATCACATCCTTAGGAGAGGAATTTCTGACAGGTTGAGATGGTATTTGGAATGAGTTTCACACCTGTGCTGAGTGGTTTAAAAGAGATGCAGAGCCTCTGCATCTGGTGAATTTTCCAGTGACTCATCCCATCTATAGGGGGTGTGTATATATATATATATATATATATTTATATTTATATATATATATATGTGTTGTTAACCCTAGATGTGTCCAGATACCTGTGGAAGACTAAACATTTCATTTCTTTTCTTGTCACCTGACCTTTTCTCTAAGGCCCATCTGTCAGYAGGATACTATGGATGTAGTGACACTAAGAAATCAAGACAGGCTTTCCCCAATTATGCCACATTGATCTGTTGCTAATTATTAGCSTGAGCCTAAAYTGTTCTGCACAAGCACCAATCATGAAGGGATAAAGAGCCGGTCTTGTGTTAGCATCCCACTTGGAGAGCTGTTAAATGTGCAATAGACTGAGTTAAAGTTGTGGAAGGAGATCTCGAGGTGGTTGAAGCTCTTTGTGTATGGCTGCTGCTGGAGATTCCGCAGGATATTGGTGCACTTATCAGCCTCACCTTCCTCCTTTGTCATGCACTGAATGCAAATAAAGGCAGTTCCCTCCTTCCTGGCAGCGCTGTTCCCTCAGGGAGGTCTGTGCTCCGGCAGGTAGCAAACCACACAGGTTTATTAGCAAACCTATCATGCTCCTAACCAGCCTTTCTGCTGGGAGCTGTTAGCTCACGTTCAGGATTCCTGTTTGTCTGGAATTGCAGTGTGTCGTCCTAATCGACAGAAACCAAACTAGACCTGGAAACTATCAACCACATGGAACAGAGAAAGAACTAAAGTCCTGGTACTGAAGCTTTGCTCCCAAGCCACTCTCTGGTGCTGTTCCAACTCTTCCCTTCCTGCTGGCCTCTGGAAGGGGAGAGAGATACTTAAAGCTTTGAAGAAATAAGTTGTAATTTTTCAGTTTCAGACAATATGCTGAAAATTCTGTCATTATTCAAAACAGCTGCAAAATGGTCTTAAGATTTTTCCCTATTGCACTGTCATTACAGACTGAGAATTTATGGCATTTCCCACTTGCACAGGCCTCACCTCATATGAAGCACTTAWGAAACGCTCATAGCCAGCACGTACATCGCCTTGTGCTCCTCTTTGTAGTGCATTGCAAACGGAGACCTCTCTGCTTTCCCTCTGATGGTACCAGCTCAGACAAGGGGGGCACTGAGCTGGAGAACCTCATCTAAGTGGGCTCTGCTTTGAGTGGGAGTTTGGACCTCCAGAGGTCCCTTTAAACCTAAATTATTCAGTGATTTGTGTGTGCATGTGTAAATGTGCTCTCATTTAACTAAGAAATGAAATAATATTTATTGGGGAAACAGCCTTACATAAAGGAAAGTGGGGATTCCCTGGGAAGTGATGCCCAGCCCGACAGAACAGCGTGGTTCATCTGACCAGTGGGCATTGCCTGACACTGTTGTTCCCAAATACTCCTTGCTCACTACCTCATCATATGACTGGACATGTCCCTGWAATGACAGCATTACATCTATCAGCTGCATGAGCAAGCATGGTGGGGGAGATGAAGGGTGGGGAGTGTCATTTACTGTCAAAGGCCACATTATCCATTGCTTACTGACACTGTCACATGGCCATGTGCATATCCAGCATTTGAGTAAGGATTCCTGCATTCAGCTTGTGCTATAGATGCCTTTCTCATCACTTGGGAGAAGGACATAGGACAGTGGGAGAAGCTGTGCAGGCAGCAGTCTGCAAGGATCCCTATCAGTGCTGCAAAGTTGTATCTCCAGCACCTGCATCCCCTTATCCTGTCCTTCCAACATCACTCAGCCACAAAATTAAATTGYAGCAGGTAAGGAAAACAAGGTGCGATGACCCCAATATACTGCAGCAYACAGTAGTATACCACAGCTGTTATTGAAGACTGCTGTATGAAAGAACAGTTTTGTATAATGGAGTATTTTGCTTTTGCACCTGAAATTGCTCAGGACATGGTCCAGTAAGTCAATGCAGTTCAGCTTACTTGAAAATTAGGCAATCTGCCAGAATATGCTACAGAATRTTTCTCCTTCTTGTAAATATGCTTGGGTTTAACCATGCTAGCAGCAACTAGAAACACTTCTGCTGGCCGCTGTTTTGCTCTTCAGTTCACCCCAATCTTTATTAAGTATATCCATTTAGGCAGTCGACTCTCTTACTTTACAATTCCACTTGACAACTGTGCACTGAGATACCAGTTTTAGCAATTTCAAGGACTATTTGAAAGACAAAGTGGTATAAAATGTTGATTGAGCAGTCCTTTCTAGAGCCCTGATAAGCAAAACTGTGAATTGCTTCCCATTCTGAAAAATAAAACATCTGTGCAAAATAATATTGCCTCATCGATGTTGAACCAACATTGAATTTTATAGTATGTGTTCCAGTCATAGGAGACTTTCATGCAAAAAATAGAGAACTACCTCTTTTGGGATGGGAAAGAAACAAAATTGCTAACTCCACATAGCTAGATTATGAATACTCAGTTAGGTATGTAATATGAACCAAATTGTTATATTTMACATGCTTTGGCTTTGCCAGTCTGTGGAAGCCAGTGGCATCTTTAGCCCTGAATATTAAAGATCCTACACAAACTCAGCTTTTTCACCGAGGAAAATGAGTTTGTAATGGCAATGTTTGTCTGCATTTCTGATCTTTTATTGCTTTAGGCTCAATTCTTTCATGGGGCATGGGTTCAAAGAGCAGCAACCCTCCACAGACTGGTTATGTCTCTTCTACTAATGTARGGAGAAATCCCATGACAGAATCCTTATAAAGATCTTCAGTTCCTGAAATGTGAATGGCATCAAGGAACTCCTCACTTAGAAACAACATGTGATTCTGAAACCAAACCATGCTAGTAAGAGTCACTATGAAATTGCTAACAAATATCCTGAGAAATACTCACGTAGTCTCTTTTTTGTCATGTTTTTGTTCATCAGTGAAGATTGATGGATAGACTAAATCCTGGATTCATTTATTAAACTGAGATCAGTTGGTTTGTGGATTACCCAAAAAAGCAGTAGCTTTTTACTGGTTGTTGCCTTGTTGGAAAAGGAAGACATTTCAGTATTCCCTGAGGAGGGGATCAGAGAATACAACTTTCTGCACCAACATCACCAACACAAAACAAGAGGAAGATGGCAGCAGGGAGAAGTATTACAAACATAGGGCTCAGATTTGGTTCTTCACTCTTGGGAACTGTCTTGTCATCTGGGCATGGCTGTGTGCCTTTCTCACATGCRTGACTCCTGCTATGATGCTGTGAATTAAATCACTGTCCATATCTACTTGCTTACCTCAGGTTCAAAGACAGATTATGCTAATCTTAGAACTCTGTCAGCATTTGCAGGTGAAATACGATCCTGAATTCATTCTGGATAAATGAAGTGAACTTGCTCATTAATATAATACTTTGTTCTTTTAAGGGTGACTTAGTGCCATCTCGTAACTGTCACATCTCCCCAAATAATGCTTGAAAATATAGTGGCTCTTTAATAAGATTAGTAATTTGTGAAGAAACATTGCTGAGAGTCTTCTGATGGCCTTTTGTCCTAACCTGTTTCACAATAAAATCTTAACRTTTTAGAAAGAAACATAAAACGTGGAAAACAGAAGGAACTCAATGTCTTTGCAACCATAGCAAAGGTCAAGTGTCATAGGGAGTAGAAGTTGTGTTCCTCACCCCCTGAGCACACACAGAAACCTTTCATCTTTCTGCATGCCAGTTCTCTTTGTACTCTAAAATGGCAGCTTAGTTCATTAGCCTTTGTAAAAAAGTTAACTTTTTTTATTTGTCCAGAGTATTAGGAAATTATGGTGGAAGGTTGAATTTCCCTTACCTAGCTCAAGAAAGGGTTTATTTAAAAACCCAGGAGCCAATGCTATTTCTTCCCCTTCAATCCATCTGGCCTCACATCTAATCGCAGAGCTACAGCCTGGGATTATTTCCAAAAGTGATCTACACTCCCTAGATGAAGCAGCACTGCATTCAGCTGCCCTTTTATTCTTTCTTGATGAAAATATGTATATCTGAGAAATCAGCTGCTGATCCTTATTTCTCACTCAGTGCCTTCTCGTGTTTCCCAGCCCCTGGAGTCAGAAATCCCAGTGTGTGTTTCACGGGCTCTGAGCAGACCCTGCAGCAGGGACAYTGTGGCAGCCAGGAGCACCTGATGGCGAGTAGAGGTGGCTGAGGCAGCAGCGGAGGAGGAGAGCTGCTTTGTAGGGAGTTGGAGACATTTATTGCTTACAGAAGCAGATCACAGTCCGTCCACACTAAAGGGAAAGCAGGCACCCCTTCCTGAGAAAATATGTGAATTGACTGGGGTCCAGCCTGGGGGAGGGACTGGCGGGGTCTGATTCATGCCTTGGCTGCATCATCACAGGTCGGGGGCTGAGGTTTTGGAGCTTTTGCTTGAGGCAAAGAACAGCAGAAAGGTAGGTGTGCTTTCAAAAATAGTCCAGATTTGTGGCTAGGGATCAGAACTCTTGGAGGCTTATCCACATTTTTCAGACTCTCTGGTGGTTTCTGTCTGTAAGGTTTATGAACTAAATACCACTTTCTTAAAAAAAAAAAAAAAGGCATAAAAATGTGTGTGGGAGGGAAATAGATGCTTGACTGTAGGAGAAACTGCAGTGTACATGTGGACAGATAAGTGTTARCATATATTAGACTGAAGCATGGATTGGGTACATAGTGGCAGTGAACAAGGACTGTTTATTTCTTGAGTGTTGCTTTCTGTTAAGGAGCTCTTTGAAAGTCAAGAGAGCATTGAATCTTCTTGGAGTACAGCAAAAAAGTGCAGCAGCCTGCTCAGCAGTGTAGTGAAGAGTGCTCTTGTTGAAGCACCAAGATCGAGCTGGAGCACGTTTAGGGAAGGTGTAGCATTACAACAGCCTGCACCAAGCTACAGCAGCTTTTTGTCTGAGCATGTCTCCAGGAGCCCATGGCATGGCACACTGTGSGTAGCATGGATGCAGCCAGAGGGGCCTGTGCTGTCACTGAGCAGGATTGCAAATGGAGGTAAAGTAAYCAACACGGTTCTTAAGAACCCTTTTTTCAATACAAACAGTCTGGTGTGATTCTCATCCTCTAAGAATGCTTCCCCCAGATGAGTTTTGCAAAGGGTATATATGAGGTATCCACACCTGTGGGAAAAGGAATAACAAWCTGTGTTGTTGTGCTGAGCTGTACTCACTCAGGCACATTTTGAGGAATGGTTGGAAAGACTGCTAGGGATGAGAGCATGGGGAGAGAACTTCCCACTCTTGGATTCCTACTCACTCCAGTCAGAAGTGTCATGCACTTTAGTGCACTGGAAATTTGCCTCCACAACACTGKTTTTTGTTTGATTTCATTGAACTTGATAGAACGCGTGCTTGTGGGAACAAATGGTGGTCAAAATCCCTGTGCAGGTCCATTGATGAGCTGTTTTCTGTTTCTTCAGATTGCTTTTTTTAATCATAGAGAAGGAAGAAATTGAARTAGGAAATGACCTAATCATAGAATAGAATCATGGAATTATTTAGGTTGGAAAAGACCTTCCAGATCATCCAGTCCAACCATGAACCTAACACTGCCAAGTCCACCACCCAGCCAGGTCCCTAAGCATCTAAACATCTTTTAAATACCTTCAGGGATGGTGACTCAACCACCTCCCCGGGCAGCCTCTTCCARTGCTTGCTGACCGTTTTGGTGAAGAAAWTTTTCCTAATATTAAATCTCCCCGGGTGTAACTTTAGGCTGTTTCCTTTTGTCCTGTCATTTGTTTCTTGGGAGAAGAGACCAACTCCCACCTGCCCCCTTTCAGGCAGCTRTAGAGATTGATATGGATCTTGAGCATCCTTTTCTCCAGGCTGAACACCCCCAGCTCCCTCAGCTGCTCCTCATCCTCTGGACACTCTCCAGCACCTCARTGGCCTTCTTGTACTGGGGGGCTGTTAATGCAACAGTTCAGGGAGCAGCAGCCATCTGAGCCATTTGAGATCAAGGAATAAGGTGGATTTGGCAGTGTGATGAGAAGAGTTTGCATGACTGCATAGTGTTGAACTTAAAAATGAAGTTTGTCGTACTGACAGTGTCATTTTGTCTCCAGGCAGTGGTGGTGGGGTCAACGGACACATTAGAAAAAAAATTTGAAGAATATGGGTGTGTAAGTGCAAATTGTGAGAAGGAGCTGACATTTCTATTAGCTGATGAGCTGGAATTTGCTTGTTCTCTCTAAATAGAGCTTCTTCCCAGGTACTCAAGACTGAAAAGAACAAGCCTGGCATTGTTGCTGTCTAGAGGAGCAGCATTCTCTGACAAAGAAAGCTTTGTGAGGACAATGATCATTATTTTCAGAGTGTGGCTCGGCTCATTTCCTTGTGTTATGCTGTATTCCTTTCTGACAGACTACAAGGAGTGGATGGGTGCAACGTGGCTGGAGAGCCTCTGCCACACCATTATTTCATTTCTCTGGTTTTATGTGATTGTTGCTGGAGATACCTGCTAGAAATAATGCAATTGTCCATTAAGCAGTGAAAAAAGATTCTCTGTAGAAACCTTTTCCCCTTATTTGGCAGCTTGACTGAATCCCTTTCCTGTGATAATAATCAACAGATAGGCAGTTAAGTCCTATGGATAAATCTGATTCAGCTTGGTCTCAGATGTCCTCCTCCTGGGAGGACAGTCCTGAAGTTACTTTCAGAACCAATTTGATTTGCTGCTGTTTTGTGTAATCTAGAGTTATAATTTATTATCCCATCTCCGCTACATGCAGTAGAAAGCAGTGCTCTGCTAGAACTGGGCTAATGCAGTGCTCTGTTRGAGCTGAGGTTCCAGCACAGATACACTGACACTGTGCAGGCTTCCCTCAGAATATATTGGCAGAGGAGGTGCCAGTGTCCTGTCAGTGCTGAGCTTTGGCATCCGTCGCGTTCTTTCCTTGTCCATCTGTGTGAAGTACGCGTGCAGTCAGCGGGCAGAGGAAGGATCGTGTTTGCACCTTCTCTGTTGTGAGCTCATCCCGTGCTTCTCCCTACTGCAGGTGCTGCCGGCGTATCTGGGGGGAAGAATGTGGAGGCAGCTGTCAGCCAGCACCCTGCTGGAGCCCCAGCCATGCAGGTCAGCCTGCACGGAATGAAGCGCAACGTGTCCGATCTGCGGCTGCAGCTGCATCAGATGAAGCAGCTACAGGTATGAGTGTCTGCRTAATGCTGGGGGAAAAGGTGGGCTGGCAGCAAATGCCTTTTTCTTCCCTCCCTCTCTYTCATTTTCTCTCTTTMAGCTTTTGTACAAAWGAGTCTCAGTGGCAGAGTTTATCAAAGGGCAGACCCGAGCACTACAGACACAAAAGCAAAGTCCTTGAGGTGTGAGAATTAGCTCAGTTAAACWACTGCTGCTCAGATATTGAGAAAAAAATTAATTTCTACCTTTGTTGGATGACTCTAGACATGAAAGCACTATGTAAATTACAATAATACCAAGTCTGTGATTACAGTTTGGACCCTGCTACGCTATGTGCTGTACAAACATGTCAGAAGAACCATGTTCCTGCTTCATACTGTTTACAGTTGAGACAGATTTTAAGTCCCTGAATAAACAACTTTGATGTCAGGAAACCCAAATGTAGCTGAGGARCAGTAGATATGCATTAAGCCAGAGTTTGAGTCCTGTATTTACAGAATCCAGAAAAACAGCCAACTTGAACAGTAAGAAAAAGGTTATTTCAAATGTTGCTGCAAAGGTTTGTTGTGCCATACTTAGATTCACATTTTAGCAGCACCTCAAAACCTGCAAGAAACAATAAAACCAATAAAGAGTTAAAAACAATAGTATGTTGGCACATACAGTCATGCTACAAATATAAATATATGCTGYTCATCTGAGACACTGTTTAAATAAGCATTAAATGCAGCTGTACAGATCTTCAGCCCTTCACTTAATTGGAAACTGAAGAGCGCTGTGTATTGTCTCGGAAAATAGAAAAGAAGGCAAAGCACTTTCTTGTAAGCAAAAGTGGACAGCAGGGAAAGCTTCAATACCCTGCCAGTCCTGCTTGCCCAGAAAGTGATAYCACATGTTTGGGATCGTGGGGCTGCACCTACTGCTTTTATAACCAGGGTGATTTTGAATTGTACAATGTCATTTACATTTGATTTGCTGATTAATTGTAGAACAAAATAATGATAATATGAATCAGAATTCAGAACACGTTTTAACCTTCTCCTTTTCTAAGGAAATTGAATTATGAATAAGTCACAGGGCAAGGGAGCAGAAGGGTGAGGTAAACATCAGGGCACGGAAATGTGGCCAGCTGAAGGTGCTGTGACAACATCCTGTGCTCAGTTTGCTGGGAGTGAAGAGATGGCAGAAAGTGTTTSGAAAGAGTTGGGTCAGCCAGATGACTTCTGCCTGTGATACAACTCCCATGTACTTACACTTTGTGTTTAGGATGAGTGTGTTCTGATAGCAAATGTCCCTTTCAAAAGCTCTTCTCAGCAGTGCTGCCTACGTGCCAGCCATCCTGTTCCCCATCCAATTCCAAGACACTGGCGTGGGCGCCCTGCCCTGGCACATTCTGTATAAGTGCATATTCTTTCTCATTTGTGCCGCAAACCTCCACAGCCTCTCTGTCCTTGTCCCCACCATGTGCCAAATGCAGCTCTTGGCAAATGCCTGCGGTCTGGCCACCAGCTGTGCTCGGCATGTGGCCTCCTAAAGCGGGATGGGGCTGCGATGCTGCTGCGAGGCAGGGAGTGTGTAAAGTCCCCACCAAGGAGGTGGCATTTCCCCAGCTGTGCTCATCTCCATGGCATTGCCCTGGACAGAAGCCTTGCTTTTGATCAGACATAACATWGTGGCACACAAGAGTGAAGAAATTTCTACCATCTGCACAAATCAATGCTGCCAAGGAAGTCTTGAGAAGGGAGAAAGGACATATCCCGAGTGTGCTCATTAACGCTGGCTGGCTTCCCTTAATTCAGAAATTATAGCGAACTTGGTGCGTTGAGCTAGTAGGAAGTTGAGAAATGTTGATAGTAAGTTGGAAGAACCTGTAGCTCGAGGGAAACTTTGGTATGTTACACATAAATTCCATTCATAAGAGTTTCTGTCATGGCATTCCTGAATTATTTTGAAAAAGAGCTCACAGTTTGTAGGGCAGCAAGGGAAACAGGCAGTGTTTCATAATGGAGAGTGTTGAAATATCACATTTTTCATTAAGTATTTTGTCCTATTTTTTTTTTCAAAAATAATTACAAGTAAAAGAGAAAAAKTATTTTTCTGGTTTCCCAGATTGTTTTCATTTGTGCCTGACAGTGCTTCATATTGTTCAGTTTCACTGTTTCTCCTGGGCTGGYAGTCAGTTCATTCCTGTTTGTGTGACTTTTTTAGACAGTGACAGACTGGAAGAAACTCTTCAAAAAAATGAAAAAGATGATTGCACAGGCTCAAAATTTGTCAGGATAACTAAGAAACAGAAACAGGACACAAAACTATGTTTAATAATGTCTATTGTTTAATTTTTAATTAATGTTACCACTTTAAATTCATACTAATTTTCTTAACAGAATCAGAGAACTGCATGATAGAAAAGAACCATTCATTTATATATCTTTTGTTTGTGCTAGCAAAATCTTCTTTTTAACCCAAATCCAGCAGCAGTGGATCCAGATGTATTGATTCACACACCAGATAAACACATGTTACAAGATGCCACCAAAGAGTTAAGGGTCAGTGTGTGGTTGGATTTTGARCAGAGATTCTTAGCATACAGACATTTTCCTCGTGGCTGTTGCTAGAGGCTGTTTACGCTTCTTGCTACTACACCAGCATGTTCTAAGTGCTCTGACTTTCAGAGACATTCAAGACTGGCTTCATGGTGCTGTGGAGTTTTCTTCATTGCCACAGATAGGCTGTAACCCAGCCTTTGTCCTGGATGGATTTGTTACTGGTAAGAATGGAGCCCGTGATGAGTTTAGTGGGGTTGTTCATCCTGTGAGCTCTTAGCAGGTTTGAACCAAGCCTTAGAGYACATGTGCATGGTACATATCATTAGCTTATATGCACATTGGAATTTTTTTTGTCTGCTCCTTCTTTTCTTGAATTGAACTCATTTTGAAGGAGCACAGTTAGATATGATGAACGTTCACCATTAGGAATGTGTATGCATCCATGCCTTTCCTTCACTCGGTGCACTGTATGCAGGGAAATGAGTGCTACAGAAAGGACAGAAAATGTAATAACAACATTGTCATAAATGGCATATGATTCTCAGTCTCACAAGTGTAACTTTGAGTTAGAAATTCAGATAACTTGAGCTGCATTAAAGAACCCTAATCAATGTATAATCAGTGTAAGCCCCAGGAACTAGGTATTTAGCTTCTACAGAGGTCCTGAGCTGCAGTCAGCCAGTTCCTCTTGGTGGCTGTGTGCTGTGATGGGGAGGTGTGTGGCCTAGAAGCCTCTCCCAGAAGGGCCTGGGAGGCTCCCACTGGACAGGTCATGCTTGTCTCCTAATGAGGAGCAGGCTTATGAAGTAATCCTTGGGTTTGTAGTTACCTGTCTCACAGATAATTGGTTCAAAGTGAATTGAACCAGTTTTCAGATTTTCTTGAAGTGGGTGTGAGAGGCCGTGCTTGTGTGAAGGCAGYGATGAATAATGGCTAGAGCACTAGGTGAAGAAGAGGGACATGRAAGGTATCTGGAGAGATTAATGAGGCTAGAAGTGAGAGTCAGGGGTAAAGAATGCATGAGAGTATGCTAGAATTCTAAAAAAGCATGTTAAATTTCTTTCTGTTTGATTGCTGCTTGCAGTTATAAGTTAACTCTAATTAGCAAGAAACTGTCATTTGGTGGTGGCAGGAAACCTGGCATTGTTTTTCCTTATCTTTGGGCACTTGCCTTTGGAACTTGAGTACTGTTTTAAGGTTTCTTTTCAAATATGAACATCTAGGATTGTTTATTTGGCTTGTTTCCAAGCAAGCTTACAATACAAAAGGTTCTGCTGCGTGGAACCAGAACAGTGATGGCAGATTCGTGAAACATCTCCTGCTTGAGGGGGTGGGGTATCTACCAGAGGTGCTCAGAGGGCAGATGGGGTGTGCACTTGGCCAGGGAGCCTCACATCCAATATCTGCTGGGAGAAGAAGGGTAAGAGCCACGTTCAGTCCCAGAACATGGAGGTAAATGTGATGGCCAGATCCTGCCTTCTCCTCAGCCACAGCTCTCCCCCGTGCTCCTGCTCTCCCTGCCTCGWGCTGTCCTGTGCCTGCTCACTGACACAATTGCTGCTCTCCCACAATGCTTCCTTTTGTCTCTCTGAACCTATATGTGCGTCTCCCTTCTCCTATTCTGTCCCTGTTCCCCAAGCATGAACAAACCCTGCTTTTCCATAACTAGCCAAGTGTTGCATGACTTTTCTTAGAARTGGCAAGAAACATTTCTTTGATACCAAGATGAGTCATTTCCCAGACTTAAGAGCTCACTCAAACACTGAGGTTTGGTAGTCCTCAACATACAAGCTCTTTTGAAATCTTGCTGGCTTACATTTTTATTCCCTATTCTCATTATCAGAAATTGATGAACTTTTGTGACTGACACTTCCTGGTATTGTTGAAGCACTTCATAAATGGAGGTGAAGAGCACTTTAGCTGTACACATCACCACAATAAATATAGATCCCCTACATACCTCCATAATAGGAAAAAATGTGTGCCTGCCCTTTCACAACCTCACACACTCGCACATACTCAGATTTRCTATTAGTGGAAGGCCCTGTTACCAGCTGAGGAACATCAAGCACTTAAATTCTGGACACCTGAGACTTAAGTCTAACTCTGTTACTGCCCTTCTCACTGACCTCGGATCAGTTGTTTCACATATCCTAACTCACTTCCATGTGTCAAATTTCCCCACTTTTTAAAGAGCTGCAAATAAATCGTATGACTGAAGTGTTACATGCTCATTCACTCATTTATTCATTCATTTAGGTTTTCCTTCGTGAAAATATGACACTGTGAAAGAGGTGTGTATCTCAGATAGTTGTGCTGGCCTTCCAGTTAGAGATTTTAATTTATCAAATCCAAACATTCATCCCATAATGGGAAGAAATACACATATGCATTATCTTCAAAATGATCCAGGTAACATTTATATATTTCTATGCTGTTGACATGTTTTTCAGCTTCATATTTTCACTAACTGCTAACACTTCCCTTCAGCTGAGTTTTGAGCTAACTCCTCCTGCTTGGCACAGCTCCGATTTTCACACACACACATACAGACACACAGATACACACTTGCAGTGAGGTGTTACCCTCCCTCTCATTGCAGTTGTGTGGCTGGAGAAGAAAGGCACAGGGACTGAAGAGTTGGGAGTGGGGAGCTRAGTTTGTTTCTCTCATGCCMRTACTGGTTGGAAAGGATTGTCTCAGCAAAGGCTTTTTTTAAAAACTTTAATTAATTTTCTGAAATAAATTTTTTTAAGTATTGCTACATCAAAGAAGTCTTATAGGTAACCCATTTTTCCGATTTTTCCTATTAGGTCATGGGTTTGTGTGTTAAATGTGGTTTGACTGTTAAGCCTGGATGTTTAGCAGACGGCTGACAGTTCARCTGCTACTTTTAAAACTGGAGCTTTGTCCCGCAGTTAACCCAGGTGTTTTTTAAAATCTTACAGTATGAGATGGCKTCTGGGCTAACAGAGTTGTGTACATGTTGCTTAAATCCTAAAACTGCCTGGGTGGAGTCCTTATCACTTTGAATCTTGTGATTTACATAACAGACTTAAACAGGTTGGTGGGTCATAGCTGCTCCAGGGCTACCCACAGAAGAGTACAGCACAATTTGCCTTCTTACCTGTGTTTTGCTCTGTRAGCTTCATATCAGCAAGACAATTAATGCTTTGGTTGCTTAACATCAGGGTAAGACAAGAAAGAAGGTGTGACTTGCAATTCTCAGACAATTAGCGTAATATAAAGGTGAGGGGGGTTCAGATGGGTAAAGGAGGTTTTATGTATTGCAGATGAGCTGTATGCCTGTACCAAATTACACCACGTGTTACAACCCTTCCTCTGCCACTTGAGAGACTGAAAATTTCCATTCTGAGAACAGCAGTGCATTCCAGCCAGGACATTAATGTGTGGGATTATGCCCTAGGCACGTACSGGCAGTGAGGTGCACAAGTTTGTGAGATACACTGAAAGTGGAAGTTTAGTATCCGGCCTTCTCGTGAGGCGTAATTAATTCTTGATTCATGTTGAACCAAGCAGAATAAAGGGGCCACAATCCTTGCAGAAGTTATGCATTGAAGATGATATACTTATCCCAACATCTTTTGTTTATCAGTTTGAAACTGGAAGTTATGTATCTACATAGAATAATGTTTGTAGGTACAGCTAAAGAGGGAAAGAAGAAGGTAAAAACACTCACTCACTGTGGGGTGGTGTTTATCCCAACCTTCTGAGCTCTGCAGTGTATTCTGTTKCCAGGGATGTCAGTCAAGCAGGAAAAATTGAAGTTGATTTCTTTTGTGCAACAGCTGCAGAACCAGGAGATGCTGAGGGCAATGGTGAAGAAAGCAGAGCTGGAAATCAATGGCAAAGTGATTGAAACAGTGAAGAGGCTTGAAGATCCTGTGCAGCGACAGCGCAACCTGGTGGAGCAAGAAAGGCAGAAATACCTCAACGAAGAAGAAAAGATTGTAAAGAAGTTATGGTGGGTTGAGAAACATCTTTGGATTTATTGCTTGTGTCTCTCTTTTTATTTCATAAAGCAGAAACTTCTATCACTGTTCCATTTAAACTGCACCTGTGTATGTTTTATTTATGTTTCCTCACTGGGTATCACATGGGCTGTTCAACTGTGTCTGTGGTGTTCAAACCACTGGTCCTGGGACCAGTGGGAGTCCTTCTCAGCACAGYCCCCTGGGTAAGTCCCAGCAGTTTCAACCTCTTAGAAGTCCCCTGTAAAGGGACAGATGACTGTAAGGACCRTGACCATCCCTGTATTCTGAAAGCTTCCCCCTATCCTAGTTCTCCCCTTCAGCCTTATGTATTATGCWTTAGGGAAGGAGGGAGGAATTTCCTCAAGAGCAAAGGGATGCAAGGGAAGGTAATGAGTTTGGCTTTAAGTATAAAAATCAGATTTCAATAGTAAATGCTTTGGCTATTGCATGGGAGAGGTAGGGGAAGCTCAAATAGAGGATTGAMATTTAATTACAGTCAGCAATGCCAGTCCTTGTCTAAAAGAGACTCAATGAGATTTCTGTCCACTTAGCTGCTTACCTTTTGCTGTTGTTATGTAAATGCCCTTTGGAAGATTCTGGGGTTTTTYCCCCAGAACTTTGGCCCACCAAGACTGGTGGGGTCAAGTTGTTTGTTTAAATCCATGTTCAGAGTCAACAGGAGGCAAGATAAAGCTGAAATTAATAAACAATTTAACTAATTCTAACACATTTGCAGGATGTTATATAACTAATTATTTCTCATCATTGCATTTATTTCACACCTGAAGAATTGCTCCATAATAGAAAAAWCCTTTCGAGTCAGCTTGTCATTGGAAATTATGATTGAAGAGCCATAAAATAGTTATTGATGGCTGAAGAGAGTAAATCCTTCCTGTTGATCAATGTWTTGTCAGATTAATACTTTTTGTAATAAAAAGGGTATATCTGTAAAGACAATGKAGGGTGTTACTAAGGGAGAGGCCTCTGAAGAAGGTTGAATGTGCAGTAGCAGTCCATGCTTTTGTGTGTAATYCTCTCAGCTGGTTTGTAGCCTTAAGTAATGACCTTCCTGTTCCTCACTTTACTCCTGTGTACTGCAGTGCTAAGTTCCTAGGTTGTCTTTTCTCTGTGGAAAAAACAATGTGTGATGGCTGTTTATGRCATTGCCTCATAAAATTGGTACAAAGTGAGGTCAGGTGCCAGTGGCATTCACTGTTACAGCTGCTCATTAAGGGTATGGCTTGGATTGCAATACTGTTCTGTTTTATCAGGTTTTGGAAYTTTTCCTGTTCACAGAGTTTCTGCTACTTCTGTGCTATTTTGTTTGTTAAAGTTGCAGGAAAATGTCATAAATCATTCAAAAGTTACTTCACGCCTTTTAGAGACATGCTAGAAACAAAAATTTACTTTTCATCTCTTGTGTCCAGTGAGATTCCTTTGTCATGTATTTGCTCATTTGCAGGGTCAGAGCCCCCYCAAAAAGCACATCTGACCACAATACTTTAATTTCAGCAGCTGATGGCTGTTAATAGCAAAGAGCATATACAGCACAAAGTTACACATCAACTCTCACTGAGAGTATTGAGAAAAACGTTAATATTCTGTATGGGCATTTACAACTAAACTGATCCCACTGCAGATGTATAAACAAGTGCAAAGCAACAGGGCACAAAAATTGCCATATTCTAAGATTTCAGGTGTCATCCTCTTGATCTTTTCCAAATCATAGGACAGAATCAGTAGACTGGCTTTATGTGAGACACTGGAGCCTAAGGATTACTGCAATATTTACAAAAGTGTATTTACTACTCYGAGGTGGTAAATCTTAGCTTTAAATGTCCTCTTTTCTGCAACATTTCAGGATTATTGCTTGAGCAGGGAGGTTGGACCAGATGATACACTGTGGTGCCTTCCAACCTTACCTATTCTGTGATATAAGAAAATCAAAATATTGGCAGTTTCACGTGGCAGACAACAGAAATGTTGGTGTACATTTCAGAGCAAGCTTCCTGTTGAGCAGCTCTTCATAATGGTGCCTACAGAAGTGTGCCCATGTGTGTCACAGCTGTGGCAGGATTACAGTTCTGAGATAGCAAATGAAATCTGTCAAACATAGTGTTTATGTACGCTTGTAACCGTGAAATACACACTCAGAATTAAATGTGTAGATTTTTTCAATGTAGTCTTTTGACTCAGCATTAGAGATTTTATTTATAACACATATAGATACTAGATTTAAAATTTACCAGACCAAGGGCAAATTATGATGCTATGTCACATTGCCTAATGAAGTATTTATGCCATAACAAGCATGTTAGAGGTGTGACCACTCTATGTTGTAGATTATTTTAAGCACTTTAATAGAAGGGTTTTATAAGCACAGCATTTAAATTATAGCCACATCCAGTCTGTTCAGCTGGATAGGATCCATAGTGAAKTACAATTTATACTTTGTTAGGAAAAGTATCCAATTTTTTTAATAATAATAACCATGCTCCATGAAAACAAAACTTCTCTTAGCAATCTTGGRGAGCTACTAGTACCAGATACTTGGGAAAGGATATCAGAAGAATMTCTTTCGTTTGTTTTTGAATCTTTCATCTGTCAATCAATCCACAAACTCTTAAATAATGCACAGCCAAATATTCACCCTCGCCATACTAGTCATTATATTACACTCTGCCACTCCTTTTCCACTCCCTTTTCCCCCACTCATGCCTTTTCCATCCTGAGAARTCTTAATCTGCTTAAGTTAACCACCTTCTAGGAGTCTTTCTGTACATTTTTTCACGCTGTTGCCTTTCTCTCTGCCCTTTCTACTCTGGTGTACAGCTGTGGGATGGGGATGGGGAGACAGGAGAGCCCTGCTCAGCTCTGCCGGACACGGGCACGCTTGACCTTGTGCAGGGGCACACTGTGACCTCCCTGTCCTCATGTTCCACAGGAGCTTTACATTAAAAATCCAGCATCTCACTCAAAAGGGATGATTTTCAGTTCCTAAGTTCATAGCTGTGTAAAACCTTAGGGTTTTGGGAGGTTATTTGTTTTAGGTGGGGTTGACTTTGCTTTTATTTCTCCTCTACTCATGAGCTCTACTTTACATGTATTAGGAGTTCATCTTTGGTGTTTTCCTGGTCCCTTAGTTCCAGATGGTCCATCTGCAGTCCTCTGCAGCTACCTTTTATTTGCATTTCCCTGAATAATATAATAGCCTTTTGAGACTTTTTTTTGTTATATTATTCATCCTGTTTTCTAAATTATTTATGGTGAAAAGCAGCAGCTTTAGCAGTGATCCCTGTGGAACCCACCAGCAAAGTACATCCATTGAGTTAGCTGTTCATTGATCCCTTATCTTTACTTCAGTGCTTTATCCATGAGAGAATTTCCTCTCTTGTCCCATGGCAACTTTGCATTCTTGAAAGCTTTTCCTCAAACACCTTGCTGAARGCCTTTTGGGCTATACTGTGTCCCCATGCTTCTGTTGTTTCTTTGTGGATTTGTGAGACTTACCTTCTTTTTATACAAACCACATTAATTCCTACCTAACACAGTGTATTTATCCATTGTCCATTGATTCTTTACTGTTTGTTCTTTATTTTGATACCTATCCTTTACACCTTTACAGTCTAGGTGTCAGTCCAACAGGCATACAGTTCCCTGGCTGTTTTTAAAAAATTATTTGTATCATTTATGACACTATYCACTAATCTGGTACCAAAGCAATTTTAATCAAGAAGTTAGATGCTTAGCATTAATAGTTCAGCTGTTTCAACTTCAAGCTGCTATCGAACTCCAGGGCAAATACCATCTGGTCTGGGTGATTTGTTACCATTAATTTTGTCAGTTTGTTTTATAACCTGTTCTACTGATACTGCAATCTGAGGCAGTTCCTCTGAGGCTTTTTTTGCCTAAAGAAAGATCTCAGCATAGCAGTTGCCTCAGATTCCCCATTTACAATATAGATGCAGCRAAATCATTTATCTTACGTTAGCTTTCTGAAACTGCATTAAGGTGCATGTCTTGCTAATTTGCTMAGGCCAATCTATAAAGCCAAGTGTTTTCCCCAGTGAGAGAAAAGAAATTCTGGAGACCCCTGAATCTGTTTCAGACCCTGGGTCCTAAGGGATGAAGTTTCTTTTCTCTTGCAGTAATTCCCTGTGTAATTTTAGGATATACTATCTATACTTTGATAGTATAGATAGAATCAAAGGGGTTTGTTATGACCTTTCCATTKCTGCTCAAAGAACAAAGGGGAAAGTGAGCCACTGTCAGCCACCTGGAAGTCCTTCTTTTATCCCTACATTTCAAGCAAGCATCAATGTCAAAACGTTGTCATATGTTCTGTGTTTTCCTTTCTCTTCTTTCCACACCTGAACAAATTTAAGAGTCTTTTTCCTTTTTCTTGCCTGGTAGATGCAAATATCTGAGAAGCTGTTTTTCCAGTGCTGTTCTGCAGAAGGGAGGAGGGAAACCCCATGATTCCTAAAGCTGCACTGCCTAGCCTCAGTGCCAGCTCCAGGGCATAAAGACTAGGGAGGATGCATGGCTGCAGAGCACCGTCCTGTAGAGCAGGAGCCTTTGCATTGTAGTGAGTGACAGAAAGGCAGATTATTTTTCCAGCTCCTTGCTAGAGTGTGTCTGTGCCCTTTATTGCAAAGGCAGGCAGAGACAGCAGATGTCTGCATTACTGCAGCCTCTTCCACTGGAAAAACACCCTTAGAAGYGTTCCCTTGCTGCCACCGTGTGGTCCAGTGGATTGTTTTCTGTGAGTCTGCTGCTGGGAATTGGCCTTCCCCAGCTTTCTTAAGGCAGTCTTTGGGAGAAATGGGAATAGGATCATTTACCTCCACTTGTTTGTGATCYGTTCAGAAGCAACTTATGATTCTCAATTTAAAATACTGGGAAAGGTGAGAAGGAAGCACCAGATGGAGCTGGAGGAAGCACRGGATTGCCATGGTTGGAAAAAACATCTGAAGTGATTCATTCCTGAATCCAGGTGCTGAGCAAGAGCTGCACACARTGCCCACTTGATGTTTCAGTCTGGCTATTCATGGAAACAGGATCCTGTATCCTGTCTGGCAGGACTCAGCAGATAAACACGGTTGCCTCAAGAGGGCTTTGGTGCCAGTTTTTGGGTTGTTTCTTAGCAGTTGGGCACTCCTCTGCATGTCATCAGCAATGCTGACACCAGTACAGGGTGCAGTGGTGCAGTGTGTCTGCCCTTCGAGCGCTTGCATCCCCGGAGGGATCCTGGCTGTTCCATGTGTTCCTCCAACCCCATCTGCCCTTTGTTCCATGTGTTTCCCCCACCCTCAGCTGCTTGAGGTCAGGATGCTCTGCCCCTCTGCAGCCTGTCMCAGAAATCAATGGTTTGGGCTAGTTACAAGCCTGTTCCTATGCTGTGAGTGTCCAGCATTCTCACCTTCCCTCATGGTATCCTGTTGTTTGTTTAGCCCRTGGTGTCAGATTCAAAGGTGCCACAGCTGAAGATTCTGGTTTAGTTTACTCGATTCGTTTACATATATTTACTTGCAATGTGAAAGTCCTGCTTAAATTTTCTGTCCACATTATTTCTTTTGCCAGTGAGCTGGAGACATTTGTTGAAGACCTGAAGAAGGACTCTGCTGCTTCCAGCAAAGCAGTTACACTGAAAGATGTTGAGGATGGAGCCTTTCTTTTGCGYCAAGTGGGAGAAGCTGTTGCTACCCTGAAAGGTATGTACTTTTTATTTTTGTTTCTTTTCTTTTAGCCACAGAGAACAGTTGCGCCTTTGATCTGGAGGCATTAACTTTCACTTCCAAAAAGATTTAAAGCTGGGATTAGGGAGCTTGCTGCATGGCCCCTGGAGAGAGATAGACATTCAAGTAATTGACATTCACCGTTYACATATCTCGTCTGTTACTGCCCCGGGCTTTTATCATTTCCTCTTCAGCTTCACAGCTGTTTTCTTTGCAGGAGAGTTCCCGACATTGCAAAATAAAATGCGTGCAATCCTGCGGATCGAGGTGGAAGCTGTGAGGTTCCTCAAGGAAGAGCCACACAAGCTGGACAGCCTGCTGAAACGTGTGCGCAGCATGACCGATGTCCTTACCATGCTCAGGAGGTGACTTGGTTTGTTTTTTTCCTTCAAGCTTAAAGAATTTCCTCAAGCAGGGCTGGAACAGCTTTTGGGTTTGTGTTCTCCCCATCTCCCCTGGCATTCTGAGAAATTCAGCTTACTTGCAGTATTTATAGATTATTCTTAGAGCTCTCTCAAGGGAAATGAAATTAGCCTTTCCTGTGCTCTGTGCAGTGAGTCTGTTCTGACCAACAGCCTCAGTCATCAAGATCATACAAATGAGAACAGATGCCTCTCAAGTCAGCACTTMCAGATTTTGGAAGTACCTGGATGAGAAAACTTAGAGTGGCAACAGTCCCGTATCTGAGGGATATAACTCTATATCTAACTCTGATGTAGATAACTCTAACTGATAACTCTAACTCTAGGAATTTACAGCAATTTAAGCTAACAGAAACATTCTCYGACACTGAAAGGCTCATCCCCCTAAAATGTAACAGTAAGAAAACAGGAAAAGAGTCTAAGTGAATAAAGGTATCCTAACCTTCTGAACAAATACGTTTCTGAAGTAATGCAAGTTCTTTTTCTCTTCTTTGCAAGGAAGATGCATTAAAGAAAGTTGAAATATTAGATAAAATTTATGTCCACAAAGTGCCAGTGTTTACCTATATTTGTCAGAATATATGAGCAGCAAATGATTGCTGAGTTATGTGACTCATGGGCATTGGATTTGATTGCTGCTCAAAACTGTCAGTTGTGATGGTCTCAATTTTACTTCAATTACAAGAAAATGTAAGTCATAAGCTTATTGTCCCTACCATTATTCTAAGGAATGTAAAGTTGCCAGTGTCTCCATATGTCCTGGAAAATATGTAAAATGGATTTGGCAGTACTGGCAGATGGATAAAATGGTTTATGTAACAGGTTTCCTAGGAGCCACCACTTATTTTTCCACACAGACAAACATCTATATCTTTTCACATTAGTTTCTTTTGTTAAAAATTACTATAATTACTTCCTACCTTGCAAAGAAAAATAGAACAATGAGCTATGCAAAGCTCCAAGGCAAAGATTTACCAAAATATTTCTTTTCAGCAAATTGCATATTAAGCCTCATAAAGTCTGTTTCAATAATGAGAAAATTGATGGCATTTGAATAGCTTGCTAGACTCAGAAGCTCAGACATTTCACAGCTAGCTGCCAGAAATAGTTGCTTTTTTACATCCTCAGCTCATCCTACCCCACACTCTTGACAGGCAATACCTTTGGGAAGTATCATTTGAGACAGAGCCCTCATTTGAARGCTCTGTTTTGGCGAGGTGCCAGACTGCTACCTCTCATTATGTACAGCTTCACTTCTCTGTGCCGATAGTCCAGGAACGTCTTGTTTAGCTAGATAACACTGTAKATAGTTTAATCAACTGATCTCCATTCTCACTCTAAAATCAACCCACTGTAACTCGTGGCTTGGTCAGAAACTGCCAGAACATCAGTGAAGTTTTGTAAACRCTTTAGCAGGCAGAACCATCTGAAYTAGAGTAGCCTCTTTGAAGTTCTGAGCCCGTGACTCTGAGAGAAAGCTATAAAATCACACAGCTGAGAGCATCAGATAGTAAATCCCCACCATTTGGATTGTTTTGATGGAGGTACTTTTTCGTTGCAAGAGTTTATGTTCACACGTTGCTCACGACTGGCCTGTGCACTAACCATGTGTTCAATTTGGCTGGGCAGGCATGTTACAGAAGGACTGCTGAGGGGTGTGGATCCATCCCAAGCCGTGCCATACTCTGCTATGGAGAAGTCCCCTGCAGCTGACACTCTGAAGARCCAGGAGGAGCACAAGGGCACGCAGGGACAGACACAGCCAAACGTGCCGGCGGTCCCGTCCGAGGCGCTGGTGTCATCAGTTAAGTCCGAAGTGCTCCCGTTCTCAGCCCTGACCGTGCACCACGTGCAGAGCTCGCCCGTTGTCATCCATCAGTCCCAGCACTCCTCAGCCCTGCTCAACCACGGCCAGGGCTCCCCCTCTGCAGGCGGTCACAGCGAAGGTGGCCACCCCTCGGCCACCCCGCCAGCCCCGCTGCAAGAGCCCACGGCAGCGTCCCAGCCCACACAAGGCACCCCGGCACCGCAGGGCTCTGTCAATGGCACCACCATGCAGAGCCTTTTCATTGAGGAAATTCACAGTGCAAGTACCAGAAATCGAGCTGTGTCAATTGAGGTACGGGGTATTCTACTCAACCAGCTGTCCTCTCTTTGGGTCTGAGCTCCCAGCCTCACTCTTGAGGCTGCAGGTGGGACTTTTCAAATGCATTCCGGGGATTTATGTGTTTAACCACTAATTACACTTTACTTCTGAAGAAACCCTCTGATTTTGCCCCTGCTCATTGCAGAAGTGTTGAACTAGATGACCTGTAAAGGTCCCTTATATCCCAAACTATTCTATGATTTTAAATGCAACAGAAAAATTACATGTAATCAAAATTAGGTAACTGTGGTTTTTAAAGTTATCTTCATTGGAAAAAAAATTACGGTTCTATTTTAGAAATTTTGAAATACCTTATTTTTGACTGATAGCATATCATTCTCTGGCAACACTTGCATCAGTGGATTTCATTCACTCTTTACATCTCCATATCCCTTATTATGGAGAAGTAAAAGTGAAAGAGTATGAAGCTCCAGTGGTTTCACACAGAGATATTGAGAAAACCTGTGGGTTTTCTCAATATCTGTGTGATATTGAACTGTTGGTGAACTGTTGTGTCTTATGACAGACATSCACCTTAATCACCTGTATGATATGGTAAGGTAAAGACACAGATTTAAATTTTGCCTTTGTTCCTTTAGTGAGCAGTGGCCACTATCACTYTGTCATGTGTTTGTGCCAAATCCAGCACAATACAAGTCAGAGCAGTGCACAATTACTGTTCATGTATTKCCTTTAGTTAATCACTAGAACTGGATGAGCCTGTGCATACTGACCWGTAATGTTTACACATGGATTTTATTTTTAAGTAATTGATCACAGTGGAAATCTGAAAAATAAATAGATGCTTTGCTGGTTTTGTCTAGAAAGCTGAAAAGAAATGGGAAGAGAAAAGACAAAATCTYGATCACTATAATGGAAAGGAATTTGAAAAGCTCTTGGAAGAGGCCCAGGCMAATATAATGAAGTCAATTCCAAACCTGGAGATGCCTCCCCAGCCAGCAACCCTGCCTAAAGGGGATGCAGCAGAAAAGCTAGAAGTCTCAGGTAAGGTTTGCTAGAGTAAATGGGGCTTAAGAATCRCATGTCTGGAAAGGAGAGGTTATTTTTCTGACTTTCTAGAATGTTTTCAGTTTATAGATTTCTGTGATCTTGACGAAGGACAAAATAATCTCCAAATATACAAAAATCTGCTTTAAAAAAAAAGAATAATTTGCTGTGTGTGAATAGAGCACAATGTTGGAAGTTGCAAGCTGCAAGATCCAGGTTAGGTGATTAGGAAAAATCCTCATGAAGATAAGGGAAGTGAAGCTCTGAAGCTTCATGAGGCAATGAGGAGGATGCAAGATCCCCATTACTGGGTAAATGGCTTAGACTAGCACTGAACTGGAATTATATAGGTAGAGTGACTTGGTGGTAGCAAGATGGTGAGATGTTTTTTCAGCCCTATTTCTTTCACAATTTAACATACAAATCCATGTCTGAATTTATTTAAAATCCAAGGAGCAAAGAAGATGGTTCAGCCAAACCTTGTATTTGTCCCATTAGCCAGACAGATTCAGCTGTAAAATTCTTGCCCAGCTACATGTGCAGGAGCCAGTCTGGCTCAGTGTCTGACAGGCAAGTGGAGACACTGTGTGGGGAGCACAGAACCTGGCTGCCTTCTGCCCACACCCCCAAGTGATTTTCAAGGGAATATCCCAATCGTCTCCTTTTCATATCCGTTATGGAACTTTTATGCAGTAGTTCCTCTATCCTTGTTTATGCAATTTGCATCCCCTTGCTGTGGCAGCAAGCTCCCATCTTGTGAAGGAGCTTTCCTTCATCTGTTTTAAACTGGTATCTTAGCAGCTTCACTGAGTTCCCACAAATTCTAATATGCTGCAATTTGGCAAACAACAGCTATTCATTTCCTTTATAAAATCATGGAGGCAGTGGATAAACCTTTATCATATCCTGGAGCTCTCAGCCTGCCCCACAGATTTCAAAGARAGAACTTTCTGCCTTTCTGGTCCCTCCATCCAGGCCAGCTCTCCCTCCCCAGGCTAGATTGAATTACCCTTGTTTAACTCCTCTGTGTCCTCCTGRAGCTGTGGAGGTCAGAGCTCATGCTGCACTCAAGGTGTTGGCATGCCAGCGTAATAAAAAACTGAAAAACGGTGCCCTAGGGCTCGTGTAGACAAATTCATATAGATTTGGGGAGGAGTGTTTTTCAAATCCAGCATTTTGTTCTGGRTGTACCTTTGACACTGCCAAGTTGTGGCTTCTTGGATGTTTCACAACATACATGTTTAAAATAAATTCTGGTGAACCTCATAAAATAATTTTAGAATTCTGGCACCGTTCAGTGAGATTACTGGCTATCAACACCATTAGCTTGTATAATATGTGGCATAAATAGAAGAAGCCAGTGAAAATAAGTACCATATGGGAGCAGTGAGCTGTGACATCTTAAAAAGTGCAGAGCACAGTAACTGAGAAGTTTTGTAAGTSGCACAGTTAGCTAATCCTCTTCTAGAACACAACTTTGCACAGTGTGCAGCCAGCAGATTAAAAACAAGTGATGAGATTGAGACATTTGCCTTCTGTTGTGCATAATGAGTCCTGTAAAAGTAACATAAGTAGGGGAACAGCAAAACTTCTCTTTAATATCTGATTAAATGTCTCACATACCACTCAGCTCTTCTATGACTGAGGATGGAAAGTTCAGTACCAGCAGACCTGAAAACTGAGAATCACAAGAAAAGACAGACCACCTATCTACCAACCACAATACATGTTGGCCATAAATTAGCAGATCCCTCTCTTGGCTCAACTGCAGAACCCAGACAGGTCATGTTGCAGATTATGCTGTCTTATCCATTCTCCACACAGARCCTTGCCCAGTGAACTCTTTTTTTCTTTCTCTGCAGAGCACAAAGCAAAATAAAATGATACACTTTATACAGTCTTTCAGATGACTCTGTAAATATTTCTTTAACGTCTTGACTCTAACTCATCTTTACATCAAGATTGTTCAGTGAAAAATTCGGAGATTGTTTCTATCATGTGGGGTAGAAATTGGTCTCCTTCATCTCTTTTTTTGCCTTCATATGTGAGAATGCCCTGATTTTTGCAAGTGATGAGTGATCAGTAGCTTCCATTAAAGAGAGTTTATCTGACTGCAGAGACTGCCACAAGGCAGGCATTATTATTTTGAAACCTTTTGGATTTATTTTGGTAGAAGTGGAAGTCTCTRTGGTGGGAGCAATTAATTCCAGTCTATCCGTGCCTTTTGAAAAATGCTGCAGTTTAGTGAAACAGCTGGTGACAAACAACTCCCATTTTGTTCACAGAAGTGCTGAGCCTTTTGGCACCAAAAAAGGTTCCATAAAAGTGTAGGTTTTGTTCATGGGCATTCTCAGGCTTAGTGAGTTAAACTTGTTCATTTTTACCCCTCTTTAAATATGCCAGGAAAAAAAAGACAGAATAAAACCTTCCTCACAATTTTCTTCCTCCATTTTTCCCCCTTCCCATTTATATTGGGAATATATAATTGTTTAGTAAATAAAATAGAAATCCAGCTTTTAAGTTTTATGATTAGCCCAGAGTCACTGCACTGACCATCAGCAAACCCGATCACAACTTCTACTAAATAACTCCAGCTAAGGGATGTGAGGGGGATTAGCATTTTGATAACCAATGCACCTACCACACTTAGTGACAATATTTCTTCCCTGTGTTCCTCCTTTTTATTTCCCATTTTGAAGATGCAGATGGATGAGTGTCTCAGAGATGTAAATGAGATGGTAGGAATAATATTTTTGTGCCTTCTGTGTCTCTCATCCAACCTTGCTCTCATTAAGTGGGAGAAAAACTTGGAAGTCTTGCTGTCAGAATCACTACCAGTTTGAGGGTAATGGGTTGTGCTCATTAAAAGGGGTRGGGATTTGCAAAGGCCCTACGTCACAGTCTGCTAAACACCATCTTAGAGAATTACTCTGATTTTACAGCAGAAGCACATCTGATGTAATTAAAAATGGAGTGGTGTGTATTGAGCAAAGAAGTGGTCTAATGTAAAGTGAATCTGGAAATTCACTCTTCTTGCAATCCTGCAAGTGAGTGCCAGATAACCAGGGAGRGAGATAATACAACGAAACATTTCTTTAAGCTTAAGCAGCTTCAAAGAACATTTGAACTAAGGAGTCAAAGATGAGTCTGGGTCAGATAAGGGCTCCATGCAGTCCCCAGGGCCAGCTGGAGTGCTGGAGGAGCCTGACAGAGCCCCAGGAATTGGCAGTTATGCAATATTTTGCCCAGAGGGAACACTTAGCCCTAAACAGCTGGGTAATCCCAAAAGAAGGACGTTTTAGCTTTCTGGATTATATTTATTCCAGCTGTTTATATAATGCTGAGTAGCTGCAGGAAGGTCGTTCTTTTGCTCTTGAAAACAAACATTGTAAACAGCAGTGTGAAAACAGTGGCTGTTGCCATATTTATGRTGCTTAGCCTGTAACCAGAAACACACAGGGACAGGTCATGAGCAGGGTAATGCTGCTTCTGGAAATAATGCTGTCCAGGGACATGAGGAGGAGGAAATAGCARTGATGGGGAAGTATCCTCAGGGACAATGCCAGTTTCTCAAACTGGTCTTCTCTAGGAAGACTCCTCAGAAAGCAAGGGCTGGCTCTGCTTGGCCTTTGCATTTGGTGTTTGAATCTTCTTGGGTTAGCAAAATATATAGGGGGCTCTTGCATGATAATTCAAAGGCAAAACTGTGCATTCCTGGAATTACAGCAAGTTAAGTGAAAATAAATGCTCCCTTAGAAGAGGAGCAAGTACAGTTGTCCCTGGTGATCCCCTGCCCTGCTCAGAGTTGAGAGGACCCACTGAAATGCAAAGGTGGMAACTCTAGAGTACTGCTCACATTTTCATGCAGCCTTTGTGTGAGCTTAGCCAGTTGTRTCCAACTATGGGATGGACAGAACCCTTCAGCTGCTTGCACCTTGCCAGCAGCACCTCCCARGCAAAGCAGAAACGTGTTCTGGTTGCTTCAGAATTGCTGAGAACAAGGAGAAGCCCCCAGGTTGGTGTCTCACTGGATTCCATGTCAGTGGCCTTCCTGTCAAAGGAGACTGAGGGCACCATCTGTGACTGGGTACCCACAGCCTGCACCTTCCATGCTTCTTTACACGTGTGTTCTGCTTTCCCATTTGTGCACCTAAGGCTGACACCCAGCCACAGTGTCTGGAGGACAGGAGTTTTGCTGAAAATCTCTGGGTGCAGTGATCCAGTTTTGCTGTGCAAGTACAGCACTGTTTCATTCGAGGCAGTTACCCCTGAATACCAAATGTGTTTCTGTTTGTGTATTCAGCAACAGGACCTTTCAAGACATTTTGTCCTTTCCAATCAAGACAGGTRTGCAAACACTATTTTCCTCTCCTTCACCCGTGCTTACTGTGTGCTGCTATGTTTGCCTGCAGAGGAAGCTGCTGATGGAGAACAGGACAATGACAAGCTGACCAAGTCCCCACCTCCTCCGCCTCCGCGGCGCAGTTACCTGCCAGGGTCAGGGCTGACCACGACCAGRTCAGGAGATGTCATCTATACAGCCAGAAAAGAGGCTGCTGCTGTCAAGGTGAGATGGTTCACACTCTGGGCAGCCAGGCTCTTGATGAGAGGTTGGCATAGAGACAAGACACAGGCTTGGGCTTAAAAACCACAAAACAAATTGAGGCAGAGCTAATTCCTGGGGAGCTACTGCAACTGCTTACCAGGGTGCACTTGTGGCAGGCCAAATGAACAAGTAAGATTTGATCAGTTCTGTTTACAGGAGACTTGCTGCTCTTATCTCCTAACAATGCAGAAGGCAAGTCACAGGCTGCTTTCATTTAGAGCAGTAAGAAGATTAAAAATAAAAAAAAAAAATTAAAAAAAAAGAAGCATGCCTTAAACAGATGGGGAAGATCAGCTCAGATTTGAGAGTGTTTTTACAGAAATGTYGCAAATTAGTTTCTTTGGGCTTGTTTTCCCCATCTGTTCTGGGGAAGGAACTGGAGGGAAGTCCAGCTTAGGAAGCTTTTTAATCTGTGCACATACATATAATCACATCAGCAGTATTGGTTGCTTTTGAACTGTTGAAATAGCAGGAAGGGGGATTGCAAGAGGGGAATTTCAGTAGTGTTGAATTTTTGGTGTTTGCTTTGCACCAGGATGGTTCAGCTGTGTTATCTGTGCTTTCTTATCCCCTTGTAGGAATGCAGTGAAGATGCTGGGCAAATTGCACAACCCAAAGCCCCTAAAGAGGATCAGGCATTGTCTCGGAGCACAGGGCATGCTGTAGTACCAGCTGCAAAAGATGAAGAGGAAGAGGAAGGAGATAAAATAATGGCAGAATTACAGGTATGCCTTTGGGATTGTACAAGAGGACACCTGTGCCCCGCATCACTTCTAGGGCCTYAGTGCAATTTCTAGCTCAGAACATGAAGGAAATTAAGTCTGCTAGCCTCACCTGGCACCACTTTTTTGCACTGAGTGGTACACTTTTTGGAAGTACTAACAAATTTTGTTCAAGAGGTCTGGAGCTGAGAGAGTGGTCRAGAATGCAGTAGCTGCCACTGGAGAAGTCTGCACATGCAGATGGGACAAGCGARATATTGGGGTGCATTGGGTGTGGTTGTCCCTGGCCTGGTGTTGCTCACCTGGTACCAGACTGGCAAGGTGCTGAGAGCCCGTCATCTCTGTTGAGTTTGGTGGGCACAGAGAATAAGTGGGTCTGCTCCTGRGGGGCAGAGTTTCCCTGGAATGTTTGAACACCGAGATATTGCCCCATCCCTGTGGTGGAACTGGAACATTGCCAGGGGCATAGGGAAGGGCTCTCTTGCTGGTCCTTGGCTTGACAGGACAGTTTACTTTGGTCATGGCGATGCTGCAGTAAATGCCAACTATTCCTGCCACCATCAGTGAGCTCCAGCTTCCCAGGGGCACCCTCTGTCCCCTGYTGTGTCCACATGAGGAAAGGAGATGTGGATCAGCGTCACTGGGTATAACTTTTGGTGATCTRGAGTGCTGTCACAACATGAGGTGATCCCTGCTGTCCACCTGCCAGRTGGGCTGGGCACTGCCCAGGGAGGGTTTGGAGCACAGGACAAGGGCACTGAGCAGTAGCTGCCCCTTCCCTCAGCTCTCACCCTCCAGTGCTGGTCTGCAGGGACTGAGGGCAGCAGTTTGTCCTTGTCCCTGCTCCGTGTGCTGATGGCCAGTGAGACAGRAGAGCTGGGGAYACAGAAGCTGTGACAGCATCTCTGTCTCTAGGGAAGCAACCCTCTGCCTTGCAGCTGGGAATGAAGTGGAGGTTGTGGTCTGGAAAACGGGGGCTGAGGGGAGCAAAGGAGGAGAATAGGCATGGTTACTCAGCAGGGAATGAATGGGGGTTTAAATGCAAGTTTTGGGGGACTAGCAATACTMATTTTAAACCAATACCAAATACCAGGTATATTTTAGCAGTTTAACAGAGTATGGTGTTTAGAAAGGGCAAATTGCCTGATCTAAGACCTACAGGCTYTTAGTCTGATATCAGTCATAGGCAGAAACATGGAAAATGAGATCTAGGATCCCATCATTGCAGAACTAAAGGACAGACATAAACAGTTATGCGCTCGTAAGCACAAGGTAATGGAGCAGAGCTGTCAAAGCAAACAACACCCTTTGATCAGGTAATGGGTTTGACTGCTTAAACTGAATTTTATACTCATAAACATTTTAGTAAGGCATTTGATSAAACATCACACAACATTCTAATAAAAATCTGGCACCCCAGAGTACACCAAAAAACCAGCCCTAACACACCATATTTGAGAGCTGACCTCGATGCAGGTGTTCATAGCAGGTCTCATAAGGTGCAGCAACAGGCCCAGTGTCTCTCTCTGTATTTTCATCAAGAGCCTGGAAATACRATTAAAATCCTTACTGTGTAAATCATCCTAATTCAGATCTGTGAACTATGAGGGCAGAGGGATGGCAGCAGTCACTTAATGAACAAAAAAGTCCACCTGGAGAACAGCAACACCTAGGCCAGGCTACAACTGCATGTCTTGGAAAGAAACAGGATTTGCAGTAACAAGTTGACAGGAGCTCCCAGGTSAATTTTTGCTGTTGCCACAAAATTGTGTCTGCTTCAGGTGTAGATGTGAGAACGTGGAGTGWTTTTATCTCTATGTACAGGATCAGTGAGATCCACACTGTGCTTCTGCATCCATGACTAGCCATGTATCCCCCATTTGAAAAGCCTGGTAAGAATATGAAAGTTCAGAAGAGACTTGAGTACAATGTGAAGATTTTTAATGTAGCAGGAAAAGGCATCATCATAATCAGTGGTTATAGCACAAACTATTTGGAGACTGTTACAGATATTTCAGAGCAAAGGTGATAAAAAAATACCAAAGGGAAAAAGCTTTTTTGACACTGAAGCCTGAAGGACTTTGAGGATGCTTACCTCAAACCCACATCGCTGGTCTCACAAATGGGTAAGTTGGGGAAAAGTCCATATTCTGTATGATAAGGAGCAAGAATGTATTTTCTCTTGGTTTCATGTCATCTGAAGTACTCTAGTCTATTAACATACAACTAGGATGTAATGGAAAAGCAGAAGAAWGGCTACATCCTGATTTTTTGCACTGGATTTTCTTTGTTATCCTTACTTTTCTGATTTTGCATAAACATGCAACACATATGAAGAATACAGTGTTTGAAGAACAGGCCTGATTCTAATCTGTAATCAGGGCTGTTAATTTCTTGTGTTGCCAGGATTCAAATAATTTCCCGAATATATGGTATAAAAATCTAATCTTAGCTCATGTCACGGTGTGTCTGRCTCCTGTGAGCACTCCCCCTCTTCACTGTGTTCTTCTTGTATATCTCACCAGGGCAGGCCWTGTGCCAGTAGAAGCCTACAGAAATTCTGGTGAGGCACACTGGCAGCCTGCCCTGCACAATGGCAGTGGCTGTGATAGTTTTGCTCCTCCAGATCTGGGAGCCAGTTGGATAGAGAAATACAAAGGAAATGAAAGGAGAACAGCAAAACAAATGGCTGAAAAGTTGGAGCTGTGCCCTGGGGGACACATAGTGGGATACCAGTATCCACAAACCCATGTGTTGGGGACTGTCAACTTATGGTTCATCAGCAAAGCTGTGACACARGCACATCTCCATGCTTAAAGCTTTAATAACAAATCTCTGTATRGGAGAAGTGGAGTTACATAACTCCTGCATGATTATCAGCCACTAGGAAGCAGGTGCTGTCACAAGCCCTAAGTTTATCATGGGCTTCCAACTTGAGTTTGGATAGTCTGTAGCACCTCTGTGTGCCTTCATCATCTGCAAATTCAGAATCAGTTTGTCTTCCTTACAGGGAGCACTGAGGTCAGCATGAGGTTACAGTCCTGACAGACTGGAGGGGATGCCCTGGTACTCGTAATCTGATAATCTAAAATCTCTATTATTATCTCACAACCTTGTGGATAACATTGTTGAGCTGTGACTTTTAAAAACAAGTTCTCTCTTTGTAGCTGGTCATCTCCARATATTTCTGTGTAAAAGTTCTTGGTCTCCTGATAACCTGCAGTATTTATTTCCTAGGCTTTCCAGAAGTGCTCTTTTATGGATGTAAACTCAAACAGTCATGCTGAACAGTCCAGAAATGACACACATGTTAAAGACATAAGGCCTGGGACTTTAATGCATCACAAGGAAAAGAAGGTAACATGTGGCAATTGTAGACATGCCACCCGGTCTTGGCATAACCTTCTTTCCTTCAAAACTAATCTTACATCTTGCGTCCTGTTCTCTTTAACCTCCTACCACCACTGCCCAGCGGTTTCCTTCCTTTTATCTCCATATGGCTCAGAAATGCTCATATGGAACGCTGTATTAAACTASTTTATGTGTCTCATCAGCAAGTGTACAATGGTTGCATGAAGTTTTATGATTCTGGGAAATCAAAACAGGATCCATCAGTTTCTGTCAGAGATGCTCACACTACTTAGAACATCCTTTCTCTTCTGTCCTGGCTATGGATGGTGAAGCATCTCTCCTAAGCTTGAGGGGAAATACTGATTCCTCTCAGTCTCTAGAGCCAGTTTAAAGAATTTGTGCTTTGTTTCATTTGTTGATCCCATAGTTGTTAGGTATTCAGAAATCCCGCTCAGTTTATTGGATGACTCAAATCAAAGTGCATGGGAGCAATTTGTCCTTTTGCTGAAAGTTAATGCCCAAAATTCAGTCATGGGACTGAGAAGAGGTGCCGTGTGTTGGGGTAAATTTCACAGCTGTGCATGGACTGGASTGGCCAATTGAGTTGATTTGACTTAGCAGGCAGCCAACGTGCAGGACAAGAAAGGACAAGCATTTCTGCCCTGCAGACATCTCTTTCACATTTAAGCATAATGAGTTGCATCACGGCCGAGCTTAGGGGTTTGTGCAGGCAATGACAACTTGTCAAACAAATGCCAGTCTGCAATGAAGGTGGGTATGGAAGGGAAGGACACACAGCTCTTCAGCACAGCATTTCAACCTTCTGGGCCATTTTGTGTGAGTCTGCAAATGCTGCAGGTCAGGACATTCACAGGCTTGTGTTGGAGCGGCCCAAATAGCAGTTCTGGTCTAAAGCTGCAAACAGCTGGCTGGGTGAGGGTACAGATTCATGGGTATGAGGGGAAAAGGGAAAACTGCTTTATTGTGGAGCGTATGACATTGTTACAGAGGGAAAAAAGTGTGAATTCATCCTCATTACTGCTGTTGTCAGAATGAGAAGATCATATTGTTGCATAAAACTCTGGGTCATCGCTCAGGACACTGCAGATCCTGTAGCGCAAACGTTTCTTTGAAAGGCACTGCCAAGTAATTGCCATAAACTGATATTTATTTGAGTAACACAGTGTCCAGGAAATTAAGGTTAATGAGATCTGTTTTTGTAATCTGACATGACAGAGTGTTTATTGGCTTTAAATATGGAACATTATGGTCACGATAAAATCGCTGAGGAAATGAGTTTTGTTGTGCTTTTATTTTTTTAGTAGAAAAGCAGCATTTCCTAAAATGAGATATATTGTACAAGCACACCATGAGGGTTGGATGCTTGGAACGAGAAGTGGAACTTGCTAAAAAAAGATATGCAGCCAGCATATCCAGAGGCAGCAAGTGCCATTGAGTGAGCTGGCCTGATTCCGGGGGCTCTGACACGGGATGGGGGGGCAGTGAGCGCTGAGCCAGGCGGGACCGAGGGATCCCAAATCCCCGTGTTTGGCTCCATGCAGACGGTGCCAGCCTGCCCTCTGGGGCTGCTCTGCATGACAGCTCCTCCTCCTTTAGGAATYTGAGGGGTGCCAGGGTGTCCAGGARCAGCTGTTCAGCCTTGCTGCTGCTGAACAATCCTTYGTGGAGGTGAGCTGTGACTCTGGTGTATCACGGGCTTTCTCGCTTCTGTGTTYCCATTGTGAGTAAAGACTTTCTGTGTAAAATCCTCCAGCAGCGCRTAAGAAAATGTCACATGAGGTATAGAAATCATATCTGGAGAAGCTCCATGCGCATGGGGCGTGCATGCATAGCCAGCCTGGGGATTTCTGCACCRTCACTCACCCATCTCAGTTGGGAGAGCGCTGCTCCTGACTGCTCTGCACGTCTCAGTGCTCACAGAAGTACAACGTGTCCTTCTGGTGTGTTAAGTCAGCTTCTAGTCTCGAGCAAGTAATGTCAGCATTACTGCTTTTGGTTCACTGCCTTCAGGTGCTCGAGGCCAAATTAATTTCCTTCTTGGTGAGCTGTCTTTTGACTGCAGATTTTTCTCGCACTCATTCATAGGCATGGTGTCTCCTCAGGTCAGTCCTTCACCCTGCTGATTGGTGTTTCTCCTAAGTTGTCACTAGCACTTAGAGTGCTCCAGAGAAAAGCCTGGTGTTATGAAACAGCATTTCCAGAGGTCCTCACTTGCAAATAAAGAAAAAACTCCCCCCCAAAGTTCTGTTGCTGGGAATGTACGTGCTTCTTTTGAGCTAGTGGATGACCTCTCTGTGTGGTGTTTGGCATTTCTGCTGTAAATGAATGTAGTTCAGTATTTCATTCTGCACTTCCACAGGCACCACTGAGTGCCACTACTAATTCTGAAGAAATACTTTTAAACTGCAGCAAAGATTTAGAAGTGCTCAGACTGYAATGATATTAATTGTGACGGAGCAGCACTGTTGTGAGCAACATTAGAAGCAGCAAAATGTAACTTGAAAATCAGCTTTTACTGGTGTAAAACTTCCTTCCAAGGCAAGCCAGACTCTCAGGTTTGGCTCTCTGGAGAGCCAGCAAGCCATAGTGCCCTGCTGTCAGCCCTTCCATGTCAGCCTCCCTTTGATGTGTCCCAGCAGAATGCAACCAGATACTGTGAGACTTTCAACTTCAATCTTATAAAAACCTGGGGTTTTTTTAACTGGGAGGTGAGCATTATGTTGGAAATAAGGTAATTAGTGTGCTTTTGCATAATCTGGAGGCCTTGTTAAAACAAGGTAAGGTCCTATCCTGGCCTAATGCATAGCACAGAGCTGTAACATCATGCACTGTTCTGCCAGAATTTGGAATTTTGCCCCGAAGAAAGACAGGAATCAGATGATACCTTGAGACATGTCTCTGCAGCAGTAAATGGAGTGGTGAGTTCACAAGGTCTGCGCTTCCCCTGAGATTAATGTTGGGAAAAAAAAAAAAAAAAAAAAAAAAAAAAAAAAAAAAAAAAAAAGTCCTGTAAAGGTAAAAGCCCTGAATAACTAAGTAATCCAACTTTCCCCCTTAGGTATATGGGGCTACAACAGGATCTCTCACAGATAGTGACCATCCTAAAGAGAAGAGGGAAGGGAAAACTGAAGAAGATTTGGGTTCTGATTCATCCAGTACAGCTGACAATAAAATTGGCTTTTCAATGAATGACAGTCCTACCTTTAGCAAGGGTTTGTTTGTAGACAGTACAGACTACTCTAATAAAAACCTTCAGAATAAGAGCACAAACCTGTCTGGTGTCAGTTTGCCGGAGGAGGACAAACGAAGAGGGRCTCCAGAGATCTTAGGATCACATTTTCCAGCTGTTGAGACTGGCAAACAAAAGCCACAGCACAGACTGTCGAGAGACGCTCAGCAGGGCGTGCCACAGGGGGAAGCCGTGCAGAGCGCGGGCAAGCACATCCCCGTCAGCAGCGTTGCCCCTGTCCTGAGGCACACCCAGGAGCCTGCAGGGCCTCAGCCTTCCTCACAGGAGCAAGAAAGTTCTGCAGCCAACTTCAATCAGAYTGTGCTGAGACCCAGAGTGTCCAGAACAAGCAGCGTGAGCAGCATGGAAGAGATGGATTCTCCAGGCGGCTCTCCCAGCGAAGAAAGCCCACCCACAGAAAATATCGCCTTCATGATCACCAAAACAGCTGTCCAGGTGCTCTCGAGCGGGGAAGTGCACGACATAGTCAGCCGGAAAGGAGGAGATGTGCAGACGGTCAACATCGACGCCAGGAAGGATGTGGCATCGGAGCAGGGCATCCCTGAGAGCACAGACAGCGAGGAGCCGGTGGTGTGCCTGGACAAAAAACCCGTCATCATCATTTTTGATGAACCCATGGATATTAGGTCAGCGTACAAACGGCTTTCTACCATTTTTGAGGAGTGCGATGAGGAGTTGGAAAAAATGATGACGGATGAAAAGATAGAAGAAGARGAGGAGGAGGAAGAAAATGAAGCACATGAAGTCTCTGAGAGGCAGAAGGAAGAGTCACCGATAGCTCATGATGGAAAAGCAAACACAGAGCATTCAGCGGCTCACGGTCCCCAGGAGCCATGCCTGTTTAACCTTCAGTCTGACTCTGCAGAAAGCAGACCTCCTGCAGAGGAGGAAAGCACAAAGACAAATTTTCACAAATACCGTCAGATCTATGGGCTAAACTCAGAAGCAAACTCAGACTCTGCCGATCAGTTGGGAAGCAGACAGGATTCTAAGAAAAAATTTAAGTTTAAATTCCCTAAAAAGCAGCTGGCCGCTCTGACGCAGGCGATACGGACAGGAACCAAGACRGGGAAGAAGACCTTGCAGGTTGTGGTCTATGAAGAAGAGGAGGAAGATGGGACCCTGAAGCAGCACAAGGAAGCAAAGAGATTTGAAATCACTAGGTCTCAGCTTGAGGAGAGCGATAAAAATCCTTCTGGGAAGCAAGAGGGACCCTCTGGAGCTGCAGTGTYCCTGTCTAGGACTGATGAAATTCGACAGAGTACATACAGAACACTAGACAGCCTTGAGCAGACTATAAAGCAGCTGGAAAACACCATCAGTGAAATGAGTCCAAAACCTATCCCTGAAAACACATACACCTCTGAGGGAAGCACTGCCCCCTTCTCTGCCCACATAGTACCAGAGACCCCATCCCGAGAGCGTGTAGTGCTGGATGAGAGCCTTGCTGGCGTAGAGCCCCCTGCATCACTCCCAGCCACTTCACGTAAGGTACCTTAGTCCGAGAAATCAAACCTCCAGCTGCTTTCTAAAATCTGCAATAATCACCATTAAACAARAGGGTCTTGTGATTTGTTTGCTTCCTTTCAGGTGGCTTGTTGGGGCTCCCCACGAGGTGTCTAACAGCTAATAGACCATTGGTTTTTGGGGTTTTTTTAATCCTTGCTGCTGATTGGTGATGGGCCAATGCAGGGGAGCTGGGTCGAATAATCCGCTGTGTGAAATGACAAGCGTCACTGACATGAAATCCAGGCTGATCAGTAGCTGAGCAGTTTTCTCCATTTGATTCTGGAAATTAACACYTGCGGTGTGAAGCTCCTGAACTTTCCCTGCATGTAGTACTGTGGCTTTTTTTTTTGGCGCATGGTGTGCGGTCCTCTCTTCAAGCACTCAGGTACTGACCATGCCTTCTTCTCTCCCCTCCCTGCCCCTCCACTCGTTTCCACAGGGCTCCAGCTCCCAGACAAGCCGAATGCCAGTCCCCATGGCTTCAAAAACTAGACAAGGAAGCATGGAGAAATCAGGCAAACAGCACAAGCTGCAGGATCCACGCCAATACAGACAGGTAGTTTTACCCTAAACCCGGTGTTTGGATGGACATTTCATGTTGTTTGTTTATTTAAAAACTCCAGTAAGTGACTGAGATTATACCAAATATCGGATGCCTGAGGTCTAACTGGACGTCCTGGATCCTGGGGGCATGACAGTACTGATCTTTTCACCATGCTTGTGCATGCATGTCTGCAATAAAACACTTGCTGCTTTTTTTTTGGTTGGTTTTTGGGTTTGTTTTTTTTTGTTGGTTGGTTTTGNTTTTTTTTTTTTTTTTTTTTTTTTTTTTTTTTTTTTTTTTTAACTGTGTTATCCAGCTGTAATTTTAAGACGTCAACTACCTGTTTACTTTCCATTTGGTAAAAGTGGTGGTTCCTTAGGAGAACTGGGAATGCTTCTGTTCAGAGAGTCTTTACAGGAGGCCCTGGACACACTAACCTGCGGTGTGTAGGTGGCGGTGGGTGCGCGTTAACCCCAGCGGGACGTCTGTCACGCGTTAACCATGGCTGGTGTAGTGCCTGCGCTGTAACACGTAGGTCRCGCCTTCTCACCGCGCTCTCTCGGCTCTGTCTCTATGCACCCTCCCTTGGGCACTTCGGGTTTTCTACCAGGTCCAGTCCATGGCTGCAGGACTTAGCTCAGGCCTCGAACTGTTAGTTCTGATCCTCTGTAGGGCTGTTTCCCCAGGTCCTGTTGGTTTATCGTGTTACTAGCTTTCTGACAAACTGTCTCCTGACATCTTTATTTGCAGGCTAATGGAAGTGCTAAGAAAGCTGGTGGGGACTATAAGGCTACTTCTCCTACCCTACCCGCTTCTAAGATCCCTGCCTTTTCCCCCACTTCTGGGAAAAGCAGCTCAGCACCTGCTTCTAGCGGTGACAGCTCTAACCCTCTTAATCCACCTACTAAAACCTCCATTCCTTCCTCCTCCCTTCTCGGTCCCCAGGCAGGTCGCATCCCTTACTCTACCTCCCTCATCCCCTCTGTCTCTAACGGCTCCTCCAAGTTTCAGAGCCCCACTCACCCAGGGAAGGGTCACCACCTCTCGTTCTCGCTGCAGACTCAGAATGGCCGACCACTCCCTCCTTCCTCCTCTACCTCCCCRCCCTCCTCTATCTCCCCTCCCTCTCTGAGCCAAGGTATGAAGAGCATCAGGACAATCCACACCCCTAGTTTCAACAGCTACAAGGCACAGAACGGGAATGCCGGCAAGTCCGCCCCATCCACGGTCAAGGAGCCATCCTAAAGGCTAAGCACAGCACACCTGCCAGGTCACCAAGGCTTTTTGTTCACTTTCAAAGAATCCGCAGCCAATATTTTAACCAGGGAATGTAAACATTTCGCTGTATTGCTGGAGGCTTAATACTAATCACGTGCTAAATACTGAATTACTACACTAGGTTAGAGTGAAGCTTTTTGGAAAACTGTTGCTGTTGTAACGATAAAAGAGCATTTTCTTTCTATAGGCAGCACCTCTTACAAAAAGTGTGAAGGTGTGTGAGTGAACTTGACTGCGTGTGCACAGCGGTGTACTGAGCACGGAGAATTGTATGGTTAAAAATTTACTAAGTTGTTTTGTATAAAGCTATTTTTCATTATGGGTCTAGAAGTGAACAGAGATATACTAAAGTGTGATTATATTCAACTGTAAAACTGAAACTAAAGTATTTTTCTTTTATTTTGGTGTTATTTAGCTTTGTTACAGATTTCTATTTTTGTCAACAAATGTCATGGTTCCTTTCGAGATCTTTTTGCCAAAACATTTTGATACTATTGTAATGTACATTTGAAAGTAGTATGCTGGACAGTAAACCTCTGCACAAGAAACAGAACAAGACTGCTCTTATGTGTATGAGGCAACTCAACTTATTGCACTGCCATTCAGATTATATTTAAAAATTTGCCAGCCAAGGAGAAAAATAAATTGTTTTACACATATAGATAGTTGCTGATTACTTTTTTCTTAGCTAAATCCACCCTTTTTCCTTCAGTTTTATTTTACTGAGACCTGGTAGCCCATTAACGTATTGCATTGTGGATTTTRAAATGTACACTTCAGTACTGTTCTGTATACTGGCAAACTTTTGTAYATATCTATAAATACCTATAAATAAATAAATACTGTATGTGGCTGGGCACATAGAGTAGTTTTACCACACCAAAGTAAATTTTTATGCATGCTTAAAAATATATATGGGGAAGGGTTGAAAAAGATGGATATCAGTTAAATAGGAGAAGAGTGAGAAACTTGCATASCTAATGGTTTTGTAAATAAATTTATTTGTATAACACCATAATGTAATATAMAGAACTATGATAAGCAAAGATCTTTACAAAAATAAAGGGCTGCATGCTTATATATTTGTATTTTGTCACTAGTAACTTTCMAAATGGTCTCAATTAGCTGTTCAGCTGTTGGCCTGAGGGTGTTAAACCATTAGGAGAAAACCTGACTTTATTTTCYCCAGACTAAGGCCATATATATTTATTATAATGTGGTCTTTCAAATTTATATTAATAAAAGCTTATTGCTGGAACTCCAMGTTAGACAACCAGCAATCAAAGACAAACCATTGAGTGACTGAATGAGGTATCATCCCTTCCATCTTGAGGTATTCCTTGTTTTATTTCCCCTGTGAAAAGTGAAGTTTCTTGGAAGCATCMTTCCAAGGCAGTGCCCTGGGACGGTGCATCACAAGCAGCTGGAGAAACTAAACATTAACCCGTACCCCAGGAGTAGAGCACAGTCTGCCTCCAGTGGGATCGTGCCCAGTGCCATCCCCTCCTCTGGCACCGGAGCTTCAGTGCCGGGCTGAGCCGAGCCAGGACAGGCTGGGGCTCTCCAAGGCACAGCGAAGTGTGAGGGATGGTCAGAGTGCCCACACGGAACCCTGGAGCCAAGGCAGCTCCCTTCCAGCCAGGGTGGGACAGCGGGGACTGAGGGCTCCAAGGTCTGTGCTCTGCTTTCTCTCGCTTGGAGCGCAGGATTCCCTGGCCGTGGGTTGTTACCGAGTGCCCAACACAGAGCACACACAGGGCACCAGCAGGCTGGGGACCCTGCTCTGTCATCACACAGCCACAATGTGACCTCAGGCTAAATGATGGACAAGAGCAAGATCTGTCCTTAAACTGTTTGTCCGACATCTCCAAAGGACGGGAGCATGAGGTGTCCCCCATGAGCAAAGGCACAGGCAGGCACGGTCCCCAGTGGCTCTGGCCCTGCTCTCATGGCTGTTTCTCAGGGCCTGTTCAGATGAGGGGCTACAGCAGTACATTCTCTGTGTGTCACGGGTCAGTGGCTGTGCAGCTTACCAAGAACCCGGCACAGTCACTGGTGTGTGCGGGCAGGGTGTGCTCACAGCCGGTGCTCAGTGTGAAAATGGCCAGCGGGCAGCAGACACTGCACCCAGCTGAGGCCTCACCTGCTTTGAGACTGTGCTTTTGGTGCTCCTGCTCTGTGCCGGGGTGCAGCACCCACCATAAACCAACCACAGGCTCAGCCAGTCATCACCCCTGCACAGGCTGTGCTGCAGCACTGTCACCGGTCAGGCGGTGTTTATTTCCTCCCCATCCTGCTTGTCCAGCAATGCAGCTGTCAGGCTTTCACAAACACGGGCAGGGGAGAGCTGTACGCAAGCTGTAGCTCAGCACAAGGAACATCAAGTCTGCAAGTAAATTCCTTGCATGCAGAAGRAATCTGAACTGGACAGTAGTGAAAAGGATAGGTTTCCCACTGCTAACCAGTTATGAAAAGCAGTTTTGGTGGAGCTGGGTGCTGCTGAAGTTTGGGAGAAGCCATGGGCCAGGTACCACTGGAACAGAGGCTCAGCCCCGAGCCTCACTGCTCCAAAATGCAGCAGTGAAGCAGCTGGAAGGAGCTGGAAGGTGAGCAGAACCTTCCTGCTGTCTGTTGTAGTCAGAGCCAACCAAGGACCCCACAGCACAGAAAGCACCACGCCTGTGTCAGCCAACTCCTCCTGCAGGGAGGGACAGCAGCAGCACCAAAGTGACACAGCACAGAGCCCTGCACTGGGCAGGACACGGAGGTGGGAAGGCAGAGCCAAAGAGGCTGCACAGAGCAGGAAAAGGGACTGATGTGCAGGACATCTGAAGTGTACAGGRCCAAAATCCATCTGATCCCTGCAGACAGGCAGCCCTTCCTGCATGTCTGAAAACTCATGGATTCAATAGATGGTTGAGGCAGATTTTTACAGTCTCCTGCCTGGGAGCCACAGGTACCTGAACCACTTCAAGGATTGCAGGCCTGCTTGAAGCCATYCCCCCTCCCAGCCACGCCGAAACCCCTTTCCAAAGGCTGGCACAATTAATTGGTTGATTACCATCTAGATGTGAACAGTGTTATGATCTGGCTTTGGAAACAAAAACACAGCTTTTTGTAGTGAGGCCATTTCAAACCCTTTTGTCCTGCCTGAACAAAGTGGAGAGGTTGTCGGAGGCTGCGCAGGAACCTGAGGCCTTTATGTGCAGCTTGRCAAAGAATTATCCTTCAGCTCTGCAGCAGCATAAATTATGTTATGAAACTGTCTGTACTGTGGGCATGTCTTAATTCCACATCAACAGTGCTGTGAGTGATACTGATGGGGACCACAACAAGCCCTTTAAAGTCTTAAAAAGCAGTCGCAAAGCTCCTTGCAGCTACCACAATCCAGAAAAGGCAGCTTAAACGAAACCACTGATCACCAATGAAGCAGCAATTGCTGTTAGGAACCATTTAAAAAATCCAAACACTACATTGCTACACAGTTCATACTTAATTATTTCTCTACCAGATCTCAGCTTATCCTATCCCTAACCATTTGCAGCTTCACAGCTCCCAAGAGTCCTCAGACCAGAAGTACTTTCCAAGCCAGTCTGAATCCTTCTGATTAAATACAGAAACAAAGAAAGGACACAAATGGCAATGTTAGGAAATTCTGTTTAAACATTAAAAAACCCTTTTTGCTCTATGACCAAATACTGGCACAACTTGCCCAGGGGGGTTGTGGAGCTTTCATCCGTGAAAATATATTTAAAACCCAGCCCAGAGCAACCTGACCTGGCTGCATGGCTGAGCTGGGGGTAGACTCACTGATCCCTGCCCAAATCATCTGCTCTGCAATCCTGTGGAGCTGCCCATCCCMCTGAATCCAGCTTCCACAGAGAACACTGACACTAAGTGTCTACTTCAGGACAATCTATTGTGTGCAAACACTTCTGTTCTTGAGTCAGTCAATCAGACTGCCATCCTTCTCCTCCACAGGAGGAGGGGGAAACCAGCAAGAAAATAACAAAAAAATCCCCAAACCAGTAAAAAAGCACTGCAAATAAGGGTCTGGGGTAGTTGCTGTTACAATCAGAGCATAGCAATGACTTCTAAAAATGTCAATCTTCTCAGCTGCCACAATGGCTGAAATTTAAGGTGGTACCAAAAATCTTGGCAGTGTCCAAGAAGCAGGATTCGTGTTTTTCCAGCCTCAGAAATGCAGTCGCCCACTATTTTCTTCAGGGGTAGCTCAGTAACCTCTCCCAGATGCCCCTGGCAGATGCTCCCTGCATCTCTCCCCCTTCAGTCACGGGTTTCCCCTACAGGTTCCACACTACCATGCAACAGCAGAGAATACCAGGGAGGCTGATGAGGCTGAATAAATTTGTACTTGCACCGCTGTCAGCCAATACAAGTCATGTTTTCCATGTTTGTTTTCTAAGTCCCTGATTTTTCATAAGATCTTGTGTTCTTCGTTTAACACCATAGTGTGGTTAAGTGTGACAGCCATGTGTCTGGGTTCAGGAATAAAATCATCAATTATCTATAAATACAACAAAATGGAAATTAAACTATCAAAATGGCTGTCCAGGTAGAATAAGATGCAGACCTCCAGACCACCTCCCTAAGTACACTGCTTCACTGAAAAGATCTGTGACTCCCTGTGGATGCTCAGCACACTCTTGACAAGTTTCTGAGACCAGTGATGGGACAAAATGCAGCTCCAGTAWAAGACAAGGGGTACTCGCTGATGAAGCATTAGGGTCAACACAACACTATTGTGAAATCCCTTGGTCAAATACACTTTGCCATTACAACTGAAACAAAAATAATCCTTAGCTGCTCTGCCCTTGACACCCAATCCTCCTGACACTGCACACAAGACACTGCTAATGCACCCAACCTCCTGTCTGCTCTGAAAGAAAAAGACATTTTAGTTTGCACAGAGACCACAAGAACACAGCTCRTTTTTATGGGACCTGGTATTAGATGCACCCAATTATGTGGTKACAGCTTTCACAGAGGTCAGCTGCCATTTCCGGGACTTTTCTTCATGGCCAATTTTTATAATGATTTCTCACAAGGATCAAAACCCCAGCAGATCAAAGCACAGGATTGTTACAGTCCCTCTGGAAAGAAATGAGGTCTGCCTAAAAGCACATCAGCCTACACATCCCAGCAATACTGTTCCTTCTCCTCACAGTAACTGGCCGTGTGGGTAAAGGCTTAATCCTCTGCCAAGCAAGAAACAGTGTAAGACATGGGGACACCCCAAGTGATGAACAGCTGCTTTGTTTTCAAGAAGGTGTGCAAGAATATAGAACAAAAAAATACAATGGACAGAGCTCACACACAGGTGAGTTTTCAGGGTAGAAAAGCATCTTTTTAGTTAAAACTATAAAAAGTCCAAGACCCAAACTATAGTACTGGTCTGATTGGCAGACACTGATCTTCAGTCTGACTTCACAAACCTGTGCATTAAACATAAACCCACGCACTACATACCTTAGAATCAAATTAYGTATCAAGATGAAAACATTTAACCAACTGAATCCTTCTCACATGCTGACCTCCACAGTGTGGCCCCACAAATGAAAGACTAATGAGAAGTGTCCTTCATCCAGGAGCAACTGCCAGTTTTGTGATCTTGAGAAGGGTAGCTGACAGCAGCTTATAAACGTGACATTTCACAACCATTCACCAGAAAGAATGCCAATCACACAAAGAGTCACCAAAACGATTTTATTTCCAGTGTTTAAGTGGGTATGCACACAGGCATGATACAGGTTTGGATTCATTAGGTCTTCATGCAGAATTATATTCTCGATAAAAGAAACCAGTTCCATCCAGTATCCACTATCTACACGCCTATGTTACAACATTTATATCAAATCTGGTATCTGAAGAAAAGATACACATGTAATATGTACAGTTAAGTTACTTATTTTACAGAAAGATTAGAAATTCAAGTCACATAAAACTCAAAATCTGTATTAAAATTGGAAATATAAAACTCCAATATTTACTGGAATGCCTAAGGAATGGAAGCTCTGTAGCCACCTGTGTTAACATTTGTAAAATGTAATGAAACTCGTTAACAGTAAAATGCATTCATTTGTTTGTAATAAGTTTCTCTAATTTAGCAATATGGCACCCTAACAAACCAAATGAATTCATAATGAGGCACTTGTTAGTGACTAAACCAAAAGAACAA